AAAATTCTGGTGGTAGTCGATTCTACAAGGAGTTTGTACAAAGAAGAAAACTTGTAGTAAATCGCCGAGAGAATCGCCGAGCAATGAATGCTACCAGTTTGCAACATGTCAGTAATATATACAGAAGAAACAGCATTGGTGATAGCACGCAGCCTTGTGGAACACCAGCGTTAATGGGTTTGTGATCGAAGCATGCACCGTCTATTACGACTTTGTGCTGCGATCTCCAAGAAAACTGGTCATCCAATCGCACAATTTCGCGCAACAACACCTCCCCCCTGGACTGTACTGCCATAGCCCATTTATGAGTTAGGTAACCCCGAAGATCACCAGTCGAGCGACCGCGACGGAAACCGTACTGGCGGTCACTAATCAGCTGGTGATCCTCAAGGTACCGCATGAGCAGGCTGTTAATAACGGATTCCATTATTTTAGAGAAAAAGGACCTTATATTTGAATGGATCAGAGCGAGTACCTTTTTTAGGGATCAGGTGCACGAAGGCTGTCTTCCATGATTTCGGGACTACGCCTGGGGAGTAGGAGTACCGGAAAAGACACGTTAAAACCGGTGAGTACTCCGGAGCACAAGTCTTCAGCACAATAGGAGGGACGCCATAAGGCCCACTCGACTTGTTAACGTCCAGGGAGAGGAGTGGTCTGCGCACCGATCGTTGGGTAAACAGCACATCCTGCATAGAGCACGGGATGGTCGGTGGTGTTCTCCCCGTCATCAACAGTCGAGTTGGACGCAAAGAGAGAGCCCAGCAGATCGGCTTTGTCCTTTGCGGCATAGCTCAGTGAGTCATCCTCCCTGTGCAGAGATGTCTGGAGCCTTGCCAAGAGACCAGAATACACGAGTTCCAGAAGGAAGGCGAACTAGTTTCTCGCCAATTCTGCCTATGAGCTCTGACTTTGCCTTGGCAAGGGCAACATCAGCCAATGAACGATCAACTTGATACCTTTCCATTGCTAATGGCCAAGTTGGAATGCCTTACAGCCTGTCTATACCCTTCCGATCGGTACACAGTAACAGTGCATTCGCTGGTATTCTGTGAAAGCTTGGTTTTTCCACGGTCGAGTCGATCTAATGGTGTTACAAGGATGATAGCTGCAGCATGGCTCTACCGCGGGGTAGTGTATTCTATAGCACCTACACGGAACTATTATTACATACAACTACTATTATTAACATGGAAGACCAAATACGGCTCTGTTGTAAGGCAATTCTGTTTTCGCATCACGTATACGGTAAGGACGCAGAGCGACAGCCACGATCTATTGAATCCTGATAGCAAACTTTTTCTTCCATCGGCTGTGCGTCCGAACTCTGAACACCGGATTTTTTCATTTTTCGCTTAAATGCTAGAAAAATACATTGGTCTAAGTGAAATGATTTTTATTATGGAAGGAATACCACACCACGTCGTCAACCCACATGTTGGGTCAAGAGTATACAATTTAAGCAGCCGTAAAACTAGACACTGTAACGACTTGTCTGCATTTGCTTTAGGAGAATAAATTAGTAGCACTCGAATGCGAGTGTATTAATGTTACTAGAAACAAAAATAAAAATCGATTCTATTCGATTGTAGTGAAAAGACAAGTAAAATCGTAGTGAAACAAGTAGTACTTAGCACTTAAAACTACGGTTTAACACGTTTCTACTAATGTTGTTTTTTTATAGGATAGGGTGACAAACGAGCACACAGTCCACCTGATGGTAAGCGGTTGGTGTGGCCCATAGACATCTACATCCAACCTCGATAAGAATCAAAATGCAGATGCGTTGTCAGCCGTGAGGTCTAAGATGGAATGCCTCGTTTCCAGTAAAATGGGTCTCTGGTGCTCTATGCTCATCATACGAAACACAGCAGCATTACGCTACTTTTTGACGCTGGTATTCTGTGAGAGCGTGATCGAGTCAAACCATTCGTGCTACAACTGTACTACTAACTACTAATATAACTGCAGTATGGCTCTACCACGTTTAATTTGCTCATTCTCCTAAAGAAATACATCGTACATAAGTAGAAACGCGTCAACGGGAGCAGCGCTTTTAGTGTCAACAATCACTACCCCATATCATCCCGTGGGTGTCGTAATAATCCCAGGAGATGGGCAGCGGCGTCTTCTTGATTACAACTAGAAAATTAACAACTACGGTTGTCAACCCGAATGCCAAGCGTGGCAACTATGGCATATCCCCTCTATGAGGCAATCTGTGAGGAGGTTCGTTCGGCAGTGGACTATTCATAAGCTGTAATGAAAGAAACAAACAAAATTTTTTTGTCATGCACACCGTTGCAGATTCGTCATAGATTTTCTACACATCTGAGTAGGAATTACAGTTAGCTTCGTTTTAACGGTTGGTTTCGTTACTGTGTAAATGCACATCATTGATTATAAGCTGATATCTTTTTTAATATTAATATGTAATATTATTTTTATGTTACGAATTGTTATAAAGAAAACATGACAGTTGCAGAGTGATTTCCACGGGTAACGATTACCATCAAAGTAACACAATCGCACTGATGTATTATAAAACATATAGTAGATTAATTCCAGACATTCCGGATGCAAAAAATAGTCTTGATCATCATCACGCCATCAATAACTCGTAATGTTTCAATTCGCATGCGAAACGGCGCGCATAATCGCTTAGAGGCCAATAATTCACTGGAGGAGAAAAATACTCGGTATGCAGCTCGGCAGACCGAATAAAAATGGTGGCTCGAATATATGGTTAGTATTTGTAAAATATTTATTCATTGTTACATTTGTGATAGTATAGAAAGTAGTAACTTTCTCCACTCTAGGCTTAATCAAAATATTGAAACAAAAAAGAGTGGCTGAATGGGTATCCCATTAGCACGTGTAAGATGATTATCCAAAATACGTACTAGAAAAAAAGGAAGGAAATACAAGAACAGCTGTTGTTCAAACCATTGGAGGGAGAAAAGGGAAAAGTCTGATACAATGAATTAATTATAACCAAAATTCCTGGTGTATTCTATCTTAATCTTCCGAGACGCAAGAAGTCGATTGATGCAGGTGCCTCACAACCGTGATTGATACCATTCTTTGCGGGAGGCCTACGCAGCGAACTTGTAAAGGACTGTAATGACGATGATGACAATAACAGTGGCTAGTAAAGTTATGTGCTCTGTGTAATCGACCAAACACTTTTACTCCCTACCGAGAGGTGTAAGCATATTATTCTGTTATAGCGAAATAATTATTTTTATTGTTATTTTAGCAAAATATGCATATTAAATAAATATGCGTTAATTAGCCACTCACTAGAATGTGAAATGTTAGTTTATTTTTAAGCCAAAATTATTGAAACAAATTTACGTATGATCAAACTGTACAACTCGTTGGTAGTAGAGCAACGCTGAAACTATAATATGATTGTTGCACGAATAGGTCGGCTCGACCGTAATAGGACCACGCTCTCACAGAATACCAGCGTAAAATAGCAGCTTAATGCTGCTGTATTTCGTATGGTGAGTGTAGAGAACCGGAGACCCTTTTTAATGGAAATAAGGCATACCATCTTAGCCCTCAGTGGTGACAACGCATCTGCATTTTGATTTTAATTGAGGAAAAATGTAGACGTCTATGGGCCACAGCATCCACTTGCCAACAGGTGGACTGTGTGCTCGTTTGCCATTCTAACTCTATAAAAAAATTGCTCATTACTATCTCTATGAGAATGTTACGCCAATTCGATCGATTTTACACAACTGAAAGACGCTGCTAAAACCGAGTGTATGAAGAAGCCGTCACAGCATGTCGGCCACGCATCACTGAGTCTCGGTCAGTGGCGTGTCGCTCCCACGCCGTGGCGCTACGCTTTGCTATTGTGCCTTATACCCATCGTCCGCGAATGAGAGTGATGCAACAGATGTTTCCATTCCATGGGGATCTTGCGGTTAGACGTTTACTTCTTACATGTGTCGAAATAAGTAGCGTGATCATCCAATAGGAAGTTATTGAGTAAGATAAAAAAATAACTTTACGTTGCGATATTGTAGCACCATTTTACGAATGCCAGGCGCTCACTTCTTTTTAATGTTTTTTTTTTTTGCTTTTGATGTATAATGTGACTTAGTCACAGAAACGACGGCAGCCAGTTCTAAAGAGACGCCCGTATGCATTGTAAATCTTAACCCATATGTGCCCGTAACTTTGTTAGCAACGAATTTTTATGATTTTTGGATTAAGTGCATAAAATTGTGCTAGATACTAGCAAAAGGCAGTAAATTCAGGTTTTCAGTATTGGAAACATGTTTTCTTTAATGGGTCGTTAACAACCCACTGGGCAAATAAACTTACATATTTGTATGAAAATCCAACATCAAAATAAAATGAAAGAAAATGTTTTAAGTGTTTTTATTCATAACAAACGTAATAAAATTATTCATGAAAATTGTCAAAACACTTGTCATGTAGATTTATACCACATTTTTTACATATTTTGGTGGTTTTGTTTTTACAAACAGCACAACGTTTTCGTGCTTGACCTGTTATGATCAAGTGATCTGCACCGTGCTTCCAAACAGACATAGGAACATTACTGTGAAAAACAGGCAGTGTCGTTGGTCCTGGGTGAAGTCTTGGCGCTCCATACTTCTGTAACAAGGAACGCGCAATCGAACGTCTGAACTCCAAAGTGTCAACTTCAGCACCCATTGATCTAGCTAGCAAAGTAGAATTATTGACGGTGACATCAATCATCCATATTATAATGCTAGAATACCATTTTTTACCTCTTATTGCAATTCTGTATGTCCCAATATTGGCATCTAGTCTATCGACTCCACCCATAAAACGATTATACTGTTGAACTACATAAGGCTGCTGTATATAAACCTTTTTTTTTCTCGACTGCCGAATAGCGTTTTGCTTTTCGAATTGGATGAACACCGGAACAACATTGGAGAGTAAAGTAACAACACTGTTGTCATTCCAGCGTACAGCACATATTTGGTCCGTTAGTGTCCAAACGGTAGTCGTAATAGCCTCTTTGCTTCTTTTTTGACAGACTTGACATCCATTAACGGACATTTATCAATCCTATTTTGGCGCACAGTGCCTGTTACCTTGATGTTCTTGTCCTGCAAATTGCTTATAAGAGTTGGTGAGGTAAAAAAATTGTCACAAAAAACTGAAAATTGGGTTTCAGGATATTCTTTTTTCATGGCTTCCATCATCTTAGTAACTACGTGTTCTCCAAGTCCAGTGGATCGTTGTTCAGATTTTCCCTCATATAAATCTGCATGAAGACAGTACCCTAGTCGTGTAGCAGCCGTCCAAGCTTTGAATCCGAACCGTATGGGCTTGCCATGTATATGCTGCTTGCATCCATGGCGGCCATAATATGGGATCATTGACTCGTCTATACTGCAACTTTTTTCTATAGGTGCATACATGAAGAATTTTTCATTCAAAAAATCAAGCAATGTTCGAACTTTAGCCATTATGTCATTTGGGCGCAAATTATTATTGTCTGTTGCATGAAAATATCTGAATATTTCCTTAAAACGATTTTGAAACAAGAACATTGTGAGTGTCTTCATTTGTTTCCAAAACATTCGACGTCTAGGTAAAGGTACATAACCACTAAGAATGAGAATTCCTAGGAAACAGTAAATATCATCTCCTGACAAAGTTAACTTTGTATTGGGGTCCTGTTGCACTGCATATATAATAGAATGTCTCATAAGATGTCGAATTACATCTTCACTGAAAAACAACTCAAAAAACTCTAAAGGTTCACTTTATTTACTCAGAGTTAGTACAGTTTGAGGAGGTGGTTGAACCCAGACATTTTGTGGTAAATCTAAGTCTCTCTTGGTCAATCTTCTTGGTTTCTGTTGAAGTAATGGACATGCGTCTGACCTGCTACTAGTATTACTGCTACTAGACTGCTTTTGACTAGTAGAAGGCCTGTCTTGACTGGTCGTCGAATGCCTGAGTTGCTCATTACTTATTGTAACAGCTGGTTAAGACTTTTTAGGCATACGTCGAGTTTTAGCAGGAGTAGAAGAAGAGATTTCAGGTTCAATAGCCTCGATTTCAACATGCTGGTCATCTTTCGACGTGTGAATTACTAGCTCAGCAGGCGCGAGAAGCTGGTGCCGATTCAATCTATCAAAATCGCAACAGTCTTCTTCCCCCGAGTCACCATCAGAAATTTCACCGTTACATGGTGAATCTATATAAACATCTATACCTTGAATGTCTTCCACCTCCTCCAAAGCTTCGAGGGCATCAGCTATTTCAGTAGTGGAAAGCAATCGACGAGACCTGCAAAACGCCAAATATAGTCGGCGACCAGCAACATATGTACATTAATTTGTTAAATAAATATGATTATCGCAAAATTTTATCAAAAAAAGTCTAGAAATATTCTAAAGTTACATATACATGCATAAATTATGTAAAACAAAATTTATATAAAAATGATTTACATTTTTGCTAGCGCGGGTGAACAATTTTTTTGCAAAAAAAACTCAACCGAATTTTAACTTTCCATCTTTCAAATTTGACACTTTGCGGTACTAGCGTGTTGAGTACTTTAGATAAGCAGAAGATGGCGCTAGACACAAATAATTTTTTACCGTTTTCTTTCGCAACGCATTTTTATCAAAGTAAGTAGAATGGGTCGTTAACAGCCTCCTGGGCATATGTGGGTTAAACAGGAAAACGTGTTTTTTGTAGAATAAGGGTGACAAACGAGCACACTGCCCTGTGTACCACAAAAATGCCACGTCACTCCTGAGGACAAAGATTGAATTCCTCGTTTCCATGTGTGTCATCCAACAAGTGTCTCCGATTCTCTACACTCTCCATACGAAACACAGCAACATAAAGCTGCTTTACACCGCCGGTATTCTGTGAGAGCGTGGTCCTTCCCTAACCATTCGTGCTACAACTACATATACAACATGTAACAAAAACCCTGTGGTTCCCGTTAACTGCGTTATCAGAATCAGTATCCAATCATATGGATATAATTTTTTTTTGAAAAACGCATTTAAAAAAATTAATTTTAATGAAAAAAGAATTTAATTTTCAAATTTTATGTGGTTTTATTATCTTTAGAGGAGTGGAGAGATAGATATATCCATGCAATTTTCAAAATATTTTTTTCATTAAAATAAAAAAAATACTTAAATGCGTTTTTTGAAAAAAAAAATGTTTCTATACGCTTGGCTACTGATTCTGATAACACACTTAACGGGAACAACAGGGTATTTGTTACATATTGTATACAACACGTAACGTAATTAACGTACTTTGAGAAAGTAGTTTGTTCAGAATCGTTTACTGAATCGATTCCTATCATTTTTAATATAGGTAATTTTTTATCCCAAAAATAATTAAAACTACTTAAATTACAGTCACACTAAATCTGTACAGTCAAAACAAACTGAAATGGACCGTAACTTAAGGCATTAAGACTTTTAAGAGTGCAGTTTTATTTGTATTATTACTAATTCTGTCATTCAATAAAAATAAAGAAAAATGAACTTTATTTCAAGCACGTTAAAGTCTTTGCGTTCGTGGATTTGTACTGTGACCACAACAATCTTCCGGAATTAGTATAACTAATTTGATAAATAATCAGTGCATAAAAATGTTTAACTAAAAATTCAGTGTATGTATTATGGTTATAACATAACATACTAATTGGGGTGTCTGAGGGTGTGCGTTAATTAGGTTACATATTGTATATATCTGCAGCATGGCACTACTACGCAGTAATCTTCGCTTACACATTTGAAACACTGATGTATCGTCAGAAACATTGCGTTTCATTTTTTTTCCTCATAAGCCAGTGCTAAACTCGAATCCGATCAAGCGATAATTGTTAAAAAAATAAAACAATAATTGATGTGTTTGTTAATCATTAGTCATCACATTCAACCAGAATAAGATATAATATATATACAGTGGCGAAGCTAGGGCTCCAAACTAGGGCAAGCCCAAGATATGGTTTTGTTGTTTTTAGCAGTTTAATAAAAATACACCAATCTTGAGCTGTCTCCACTCTTTAGTTTCATATTCAGTGCTGACAAGGACGTGTTTAACAAAGCACACAGAAAGCATACTACCGCTAGATAGATTGTATGACATAATATGCAATTGCACACCTTCGGTGGTTTTGAAAAGAGTCGTTTGGGTTTGCTTGATATATTTACAAACAATACAATACATGAACAAAAGAAAAGTATGAACAAAGTACAAACAAACTATGTACAAAGTTAAAAAAAGGGACGCCTGGCAGATGTGAAACCTCGAAATTATATTTTGTTTAAATTATATGCATAAAAGAACAGATTACGACAGGAATTAGATAGTTATAATGAGAAGATAAAGCTTTGCTAAGTTTTTACCATAAAATAATGACTATTTATTATAATTATAATTATTCATTTTCAATTCATAATAAACCGTACAACATGATATTTTTAAACTCATATATCACTATAAATTAGCCGATAGCTTATTTGTGCCGTCTAGCGTAATCTTTAGGTACCATCGTGAGAATCAACCAATTTTCGTTCGATAAAATGACTTTACCTATAGAATTAAGTAGACGGCGCCATTAAAATTTTATATAAGTACTAAAAGTAGACAGAGAAACCTAACTGGAAATAACTAAAGGGAGTACTATTCTTTAAAAACCTCAATACATTCTTCTGTATTCTTTTGATTTATTTAATTAAAATTTGGGCTTCACGTTAAAAAAAAGAGTGTAACACTTATTTCCTCTAAAATTAAACCTAGATATATATATATGTGTATATATATTTATATTTATATATATATATATATATATTTTTTATTCTATAAATTGATATTTATTATTTAATTCGTATGGTAATATAAATATTGAGTTATTAAACCACACTCTCCTCTTATTACAAAGAGTGTGGTTTGCAAGATGATGTTGTGACCAGGATTAAAAAAAGGAATGCTTCGGTGGTTTGGTCATGTGGAAAGAATGAATGAGGAAAGAGTGACAAAGAAAATTTATGTTGCAGAAGTGAATGGCAGAGTCGGAAAGGGACGTCCTAGGCGAAAATTTATTGACCAAATTGGCGATTTATTGAAAACGGGCCAAATTAGGAGTACTCTTAACCGACGAGCATGTATGCTTAGGTGTATGGATGTGAAGGAGGCGAGAGAGGTGTGTCAGGATCGTGCCAAATGGAAGTCTGTAGTCTCTGCCTCTTCTGTGTTTTTATGAGTTATTAAACCTTTAAATACGCCTAACTTAATTAAACTTTAATACTAAAGAGTCCTGTATCTATATTTAAAGTATGAAGAAATGTTTATTGAATATTAAATTTCATTTTTAAAGATTTTTACCTTTTCCTCGCCGATTAGCACTTCAACACACTTATATTCATCACAATGAACACTATTATCCTCCCATTTTCACTGAAAATCTTCGAAAAAGCATAAATTTTTAACAAACACAACAAAAACAAACATAAACATTGAAATGTGAAGTGAATTTGCATACGAGGGGCCCGCAACCACTTCGCTAGTCGCTAACGCACTCCTAAACAACTTCAACTTCATGGCATAGCCAGGCTTGTTGGCTCAAAAGTAATTGCTATATAAACATTTCGTATTATTTTTATATTTCATTATATTTCGTTATATTTCATTATAGAATATTTTGCCATAGGTTAGAAAGAGAGCGATCATCTTCTCGAAAGCCCCGTACAAAGCCCACGCGAGCGAGGGAGACAACGAATCGCTCTATTAAAACTCACTTTATGACAGCAGCAGTATCACCACGGAGTACCTTTGTATAAACGTATCGCTAAGGCAATAGGAGGTCATCAGTCGACATGTGTCGAACAGTGGAGTGCGCGGGAAAATTGAAATAATTTGGAAACAGTTTATGAGTTATTTTATTAGTTGATATTATTGATTGATTCAGTTTTAATAAGGCAAGCCCGGCTTTTCGGCTTTTACAGAAGCTTCGCCACTGTATATATATGGAAAAAAACTAATTGAAAGAAAAAAGAAAAATTTATCCAATTACGATAAAACTTTGGCGTTTTGTTGCGTACGCGTCCGTGCAGTTTTCTGACAAAAAAATTAATTTTGTATGTTTGTTTATAAGTTTTCTTTGCGTTGCCCTTTACCCGTTTACGATGAAACTTTAGCGAATTGTGGTGCACGCTTACAAATGTTTTGACAATAAAGTACTGACGAAATTTATTTTATGAATCGTAGAACGTTGAAGTTAAACACTATTAAATAATTATAATTATTTTTATTCAATATTCGGGATTTTCGTTAGTATAAGAAACCACGTACTATTCTTATCTAACCATCTTTCAGAGGTTATGAGTTTAATTATTAAGCTCACGTCAAGATATTTATCTTGAACTGTGTGACTTGCGCGTTATCAACATTAGCATTCTCAACGTTGCTTCACAATGACTATGGGTTTGCGCAAATTCAACTGCAACGCGAGGATCGAGTACACTCATGTGAAGCGGTTGCGAAATTACGGGTAACATTCAAATTTTTTTATTAGAATAAATGTGACAAACGAGCACACAGTCCACTTAATGGTAAATAGATGCTGTGGCCTGTAGACATTTACGCTCGATTAAAAATCAAAATGCAGATACACTGTCACTAAGGACTAAGATCAGGAATACCATGGAATGCCTCGTTTCCAATAAAAAGGATCTTCGATTCTCTATACTCACCATACGAATCCCAGCAGCATTAAGATGCTATTTTACGCTAGTATTCTGTGAGGGTATTGTCCTACCTCAATCGAGCCTACCTATTCGTGCTACAATCATAATACAGCGGCAGTGTTGCTCTTCCACGTATGAATCGATACCACTAATGGTATACAACCATCTCGTATATTTATTTATTTATTTAAAGTGTCGTGGTAGCTCAGGGCTAAGCATTCGATGTAAATTTTACAATACTCGAGCAAGCCGGGTTCAATCCCCGCCGGCACTAATGAAATCGTTAGTTTGGAGTTTTAAATGCTGATTCACCACGTGCCCGGCGATGAAGGAAAACATCGTAAGGAAACCTGCAAGTCTGAAAAAAAGCAAAGACATTCTTTTGCCCTAAAACTGTCTCAGAAAGGAGAGGAGGTCTGTGCCCAGTTGGACGTATATAGAATGTTACTTCATTTATTTAAAAACATTATCACAGATAAAGTGTATAGTATGCGACGTGCCTGCCATCAATGCCTGTGCATCAGGAGTCGACATCCTAATACGTTGAGGTAATTTATTTAAAGCCTCATTGGTGAAAGACTGAGACACGGAAAACCACATAAAGTAGTTCTGTCGGAAGATCGCAGGTTACGACTATAAGAAGAACCCAAATATTAACACTTGCAAATTTATGTAGTTGTGTATACTCGCCTGTTCTACGGCTGACCAATCGCAGACTTTTGTCTGCGATTTGAGAAGGACAGAATCAGTATTTGTTAGATGATGAAATTCAATTCTGATATTCATATTTCAAATATCACAGATTTATATTGCAGGCCTTTGAGAAGACAGATCAAAAACTTCGGTTTCCAATTCACCAGACAAACATAACAAATACGGCATAATATATAATATATTTATACGTTGGTAGAACCACGCTACAGCTGTATTATGGTTGTAGCACGAATGGGTCGGCCGGTGAATGGCCACGCTCTCACAGAAAATCAGCATAAAATAGCAGCTTAATACTGCTGTGTTTCGTATGGTGAGTGTAGAGAACCGGAGATTCATTTTACTGGAAACGTGGTATTTTATCTTAGTCCTCAGGGATGGCAACGCATCTGTATTTGGATTCTTAATAGAGAATAGACGTATATGTCCATGGGCTACAGCATCAACTTACCACCAGGTAGGCTGTGTGTTCGTTTGTCATCCTTATTCTATAAAAAAATCTCAAGTTGTAATTTCAATATTATTTAAGGATAATATTATCCCTTTTGCTTTTCCGTGCACCACTGTAGTGCATTTCAATTATCTGAGAATCGGACAGTGAAAGTATTAAGGTAATCTATTTCATCAATCAGATGTTGTAAAAGGCAACGGAGAGACAAGAGCCAAATTTCTCCCTTGTGAGGCGATCTTATCGAGAGAGGTCTAGATACAACTGTGGACTTTTGATAGGTTGTCAATAAAGGAATATTAAGATATTAATGCAAATAAGTATAATAAATTAATATAAGACACAACACAACTCAGAAACAGGAGCAGCGTGTTACCTAGCGGTATAAAAGCGAATTGTAACTAACGCGAAGTAAAAACTGGTGGTATGTGTATCGGAAGGTTTCGAATAGACATGTAACGAGTACTCGGTTTGGATTCGGTACTCGGCGGATTCGGCCGTTTTTTAGGGTTCGGCCGAGCACCGAATATTAAGGGCCGATTACCGAGTACTCGGCCTTAATTATATTGCAGGGAAAAATAAAGACAAAAAGCCAGTTATTATCATTATTATTATATTAGACACATTAAAACATCAGGAACATGACAAACAGCAGAAATATTGAAAACGTAAATAAGAATCTATAATAGAAATTATGATCTTACTAATATTTAAAATTTAAGAGAGGAAGATTGTGATGCAAAAACACTAGCTTTTCGGCCCTATTTGGGTCTAGTTTGCTCCTTTTTGCTTCATATATTAAGCCCGCCTCTGAAAAAAGCCGTTCACTGTAAACTGAACTGGCTGGAGTTGATAAGTATTGAGCCGCAATATTTCCCAAGATGGGGTAATGAACTTTATTAGAAACCCACCATTTATATGGATTTGCATCTCTTGCGGCCCTTGGTACGCTTAAGTAATGATCTAACTCTGCTGCAGCGGAATTCTTAGGATCATTAGGCTGGTAACTAGTTGATGCGTCAGCGGCTTCTTCAAAACATTCCCAGAATAGATTATGAGCTTCAGAAGCAGTATGATCTCTATCTATCATTCTAGCTTTTTTTTCTGCTGGCTCTGCATCAATGACAAGTTCATCATCTTCTGTGTCTAGCGATATTTTTAGAGCTTCTCTTAGGACAGCCTTGCGAGCTTGATCTGCTTGATAAGCATTATAAAAGTTGATTTTGTAGCGTGGGTCTAAAAAGGTCGAAAGGAGATAAGTTCTGTTTTCAAACAAATATTCAAGATTGAAACGCGTGACTTTGTTCATATTGCTTACGAGGGCATTTCTAAAATCATCAACTTGATACGTTTTCTCCGACAGTTCTTCTTTTCGTAAATATCTCATCAATGTGACAGCATGCGGAATTACATCGGAAATAGGAGAATACGTGCTACTAGTTATTTTCGTCACTTCTTCAAAAGGTTTCAATAATATGATTAACTGCAACACTATTTCCCATTGATCGCTTGACAAGTTTTCAAAATTCAAATTTCGAGATTCTGCGAAGTAGACAGAAATAGCTCGTCTCTGTTCAATAATACGTTCCAGTAAATAATAAGTTGAGTTCCATCTGGTAATAACATCTTGATGTAGTTTCTTTTTTGGAAGGCCAAGTTCCTCTTGAATCTCGTGAAGTTTGTTATAACCACTGTGATTGAAATGTGTCACGATTCGTCGAGCAGCAGAAATTGTTTCTTTAACAGAAGTATTAGCGTCTATAGCGTCATTAATTACTAATTGCAGAGTGTGAATAAAACAACGAAAAGAAGGGAAGTTTGCGTCTTTCACACCTTTTGTTATATTTGCTGCATTGTCATGTACAACGGCACGTACTTTCGTAGCTGGTATGTTCCAATCGGAAACCGAATCGAGTAAGCTTTTCTTTATGTTTTCTGCCGTATGACTCTCTGGGAAAACCTTTATATCTAGCACTGCATGACCAAGCATATAACTTTCTTCTAACCAATGGGCAGTACAACTGAGGAAACAAGTTTTGTTAGTTTGACATGTCCACATGTCTGTAGTAAAAGAGATGTGGTTGACCGGTGCCAATCTTGACTTGATATTGTTCACCACTTTGTTATATATATCTGGAATTACATTTTCGCTAAAATATATTCGGCTTGGTATCTCGTACTGCGGTAAAATATTATTGACAAACCGGCGAAACCCTACATGACTTTCCACGATAGAAAATGGCTCGTTATCCACTGCGATCATTTCACCGATTAAATAATGGCACCTCTTTGCTCTAGAATCATTAATATCCCACAACTTTTTCTTTTCTAACATATCTTCTAAAGACGGCTGCTTCAAAAAACCACTCACTTGTGATTGACTGGACTGAGAGACAAATTCTTTGCTACTTGAAGCAATACTTGTAGTACCAAAAACCTCTTCATACTCCGACTTATGTTTAGTCTGCAAATGTCTTTTCATGGACGAAGTAGTCGCAGTTTTTCCCATACCTCCACGTGATAGTTGAACTCCACACAAATTACACTTAGATTTGTTTTTATCAACCTCCACAAAGTATTTCCAAACACCCGACCTTTTCGCACTACTTGACATTTTGTTATATTATAAATTACGCGTTGTCTACATAAAATAATTAATTAAACACACAAGCATAACCTCTTCTCCGTGAATACACGTACAAAAGTGACAAATGAGTTGATAAATTATGAAGTTACGGTTTTCCCCGCTCAAAGGGAATTCCCCGTGCACAGATTCGTCGCGCTGCAATATCGCGCTGTTACTCTGTCTCTGTGTAAGGGAAATAACCGCGCGCCACCCGCTACCGCGTTTTTTAAAGCCGAGCATTCGGCCGAGTATTCGGCCGAGTACTCGGCCCAATCTAGGCCGAGTACTCGGTGGCCGAGTACTCGGCGAATCACTACTCGTTACATGTCTAGTTTCGAATGCGAGGCACGGGCACGGGGGCGGCGAACGGCACAGTCACGCGCGTCGGCCGTCACGCGACCTGACGCTAACCGTCACGCGCCGCCGCCCCGGTGTGAATGCGCCTTTACATTTGCATATCCAGATCGTAACACCGATGAGTTTACGTCTTTGGCTCGAATGATGAAATTGTTGTTGTTACCGTATAAAATGTTCTGCGCAAATGTTGACCGCGACCTGAAGCTCGCCGCCACGCGCCGAGGCCTCAGTGCGATTGCGCCTTTACATTTGCATATACATATCGCTCAACACTGACGTTTCTTTAGCTCGAGTGATGAAATTGTTGCATATTTCTTTTTATAGAATAAGTCTGACAAGGGAGCCGCTCAGGGGCTTAGCGCTCGCTGTAAATTTCACAGTACGCGAGCAAACCTGGTTCGATCCCTGGCGGCACCAATGAAATTGTTAATTACAATTTTAAGTGCTGATTTACCACGTGCTCGACGGTGAAAGAAAATATCGCGATGAAACAGGCATGTCTAAGAAATAAAAAAATATTTCGAAGCCATGTCCGCCGCAGCCAATATCCGCCGCAGGAAATATCCGCTATATATAATGTAATATATGTGAATGTGTGTGAATGTAATGTAAAATATAATAAAATGTAACACACATTGGGTCAGCACGGCGGATATTTTCATGCGCTAAAAAAGAAGAGGCCTGTGCCCAGCTGTGGACTGTAACTTAACACATTGATACATTAAAAAATACCTAGATGAACTCATAATTATAACTCCTTTTTTGAAATTCAGTAAAAACGTATACTAACAAGAAATTTGAAGTCTTACTGAATTCTTTTTTATTAGACTCTTACTGAAAACAAGTATTTCAAGAAAAGCCTATTTAAAGAGGAAAGCCTTTACGCTGCAAAAGGTTAAAAATTGATTATTTTAAACTGTCGAACCAATCTTTGAATTATAATTTTTAAGTAAATTTATAAAATCAACGAGTACAACACAGCGGTCTTAATGATTTAAGATATGTATTGTACTTGAAATTTTATACATTTTATGCTAGGTATGTATTTATATACATATAAATATAATAAAATGAATCAGATGTTACTTTGTGGAAATCAATTAAGTATATTAAAATTCGCAAAGTGAATTTTAACGGTCAGCCACCGCAGAGCCTACTTAACCTGACGTTGTGTCGTGTAGAGGTGAAACACGTGTCGTATTATCGAGGGTGGAGCGTCTTTCCCAGTATGGTGGTGTTGGGATTGGTGGTGACGGCGATACTGCACGCAATTGTCCCTCAAAGGGTGGGGGATTTTATTACGCGGAACTAAGCAAATTAAGTTCTAACAACTTTAAAGTACATATAGGTATATTCAAAGTACAGTTTTTTTATAGACATGACAAACGAACACACAGTCCACTTGATGGTAAGTGATTGCTGTGGCCCATAGAGATCTATATCTATCCTCGATTACGAATCAAAATGCAGATGCGTTGTCACCCGTGAGGACAAAGATAGAATGCCTCATTTCCAGTAAAAAGGGTCTTCGGTTCTCTACACTCATCATACGAAATACAGCAGCATTAAGCTACTATTTTACGCTGGTATTCTGTGAGAGCGTGGTTCTTCCCCGGTCGAGCGGACCCATTCGTGCTATAACTATACTACTAATATAACTACAAGTAAAAATCCGAAAACCGACAAGTTGTATGGTAGGATTTCTTATCTGGCGAGAGGTCAATTACATTTTCCGCCAAGCAGGAAGCAGTGCGTGCACGGCTGCTTGGGACTGCCGTGTTCCGGTCTGAAGAGTATAGAAAGCCAGTATAATCACAGGCTGTGAGACATTCCATCTGAGTCCATTGGTAACAACGCATTTGTAGTTTGCATTGTTTGAAGTTGGTCTCCATGGTCTGCAGTAGACGCTACCATCAGGTGAGCTGTATGTTGATAAAAAAAAAATGTTGGCTCCGACTTGGATTTGAGCCCAAGGTTTGTTGCAGTCGCCGTCACGCGGTGGTGTATGAAAATGGTGATTACGAGTATGCTATGTGTATACTGGTGTTGTTAGTAGAACCATATGCTAGTACAACAGTATATAAATCCATACAGTGGTCCGACGACGACGTATAGACAGGGCAATCGTGCGGGGCGCGCGGAACGAGACGCGGGTAGGACGAGCCCGAGTTGCTTATGGCAATCTTATTAGTAACTCGGGAGACTCGGGACACGACTTTCAGGGTTAACACGTGTTTGCTTTTATTATTGTTAAATTTAGTATAGTTACTTATAATTTAAATGGTGCATAAGACGTGTGCTGTGAGAGATTGCAAGTCATCATCTCGCATAAATAAGGATTTGCGATTTGACCATATTCCGCACAAGGAAGAAAGGTAAATAGATATTATTATTATTATTATTATTATTTTACGTTTTGTATATTTTGTTATGTCATACAGACATAAAAAATAGGTATTAGTCACTGGGCATCTGTTTCGAAGTTTGATTTTTCTTCTTCATCCAACACAGTTGGACAGGCTAAGGTCTTAGACCATACTATAGTGCCTCGTCTTCGATCTTTCGAAGTTTTGATAAAATATAAAGGTTTAGTTGTCAATTACGAGGTTTGTCGGGGTGATAATTACGAAAATAGCATTTATTTCTAAATCCAAGATGGCGATCACTTTTTAATATAATATGTATGATATGGATGTCAATGTCGAGGTTTCTTGGGGTGTTGACTACGAAAATGACATATATTTTCAAATGATCTTGCATTTGAAAATATGGACATAATTTTTTTTAATGTTATCGATGTCAACTTTGAGGTTTCTCGTGGTGATGACTAAAAAAACGCCATTAATTTTCATATTCAAGATAGCGGACACTTTTTTTAAAATATGATATGGGTATCAATTTCGAGGTGTCTTGGGCTACTGATTAGGAAAATAGAATCTATTTTGAAATCCAAGATGGTGGAGTTTTTTTTATAATATGACACGGATGTCAATTTTGATGTTTCTCGGGGTGACAATTACGAAAATTTCTTAATAGGTATTGTATTTAAAAATTTCAGACGCAAATTATGGATGGAAGTTATTAGAAGACCTTATTTAGTTGGAAGAACTTTCGAAAGTCTAAATAATACATACATTTGTAGTTTGCATTTAGATAAGAGTATGCACGGGAAGAAATCGCAGAAGAAAACAGCTATACCAACGTTAATTTTACCAACCCACGACTGTTGATGACGATGTAGATTTAAAATAAATAATTAAATTAGTAAAAGTTGTTGATTTGTGACAACCCTAGCCTCCATGCCTTGTCCAGAGGTTGTCGGCATTTACCACGAGATCAAAGGCGTTGACCTACTGTATGTCTTTACTATACTGTGCTAGTACGGTGTCTCATCACGCCCAGAGATATGCGAAGAACGCACAGTACAAATATTGACACGAATGCTTGCGCCTGATAAGATACGGTTAATTGTGAGCGCTGAAATGAAACAATAAGCAATATAAAAGATAAGCGACAGTAGATAGTGGTTAATGTTAACGAACATGAAGTTCGTGGGTTCGAGTCCGCCATTCGACTACTGTGCAGTAAAGTGACGAGTACGTAAGAGGAAGCTGTGGCCTATAAAAATCTACATTTATCTACAATTAAGAAACAAAATGTAGAAGTGTTGTCACCCCTGAGGATTAAGATGCAATGCCTTGTTTTCAGTAAAAGGGTGTCCGTTTCTCTACATTTACCAAACAAAACACATCATCATCATCACCATTATAGCTCTTCACAAGTTCACTGCTGAACATAGACCTTCCCAAGAAATGCCACAAAATACGTTCCTGAGCCACCTGCATTCGTCGACTTCCTGCATGTGTTACCAGGTTGTCACTCCTTCTAGTGGTGGAGCGCCCTATACTCCGCCTACCGGCACGAGGCTGCCACTCGAGAACTTTTTTCCCTCTCTAAGAATCTATAATGCTAGGTCTATATTAGTATTAGTCTGTGATTGCTTTTTTATATTTTATATGTGGCGCGAAGACAGCGCTGCCACATCAGCGAAACATACCGAAGCCTAAATCACGCTATCAAAGTTTCGAAGTAAAGCAGTTAGAATAGCTCCGAACTACCACCCGGAGCACTGACCGCTCCCCGGACCTAACACCTTCCCCGCGAGAAATCTCCTCTTTCCCTTCCACGGCCAAAATACAATTGGCATCACATGTACAATGTTTCTTTGTCAAGTACAACGAATAATAATGTATAAAACCTCTCTCCCTTCAACTCTAAGCCATTATTGGATATTGCGGGCGTAGTCTCAAGCAAGTCAGCGTTGGAAACTTTCCCTCGAACAAAGGGATAGCACGGTGGACACCATATATGTTGCATTCCACAGGACAGTTCCGTTAGATTATTTTCTATATAAGATTTTCAAGTTGATTAAGGAAAGTGTGTATATTAATTATATGTGTGTATGTGTATTTTCAAAGACATAAACAAATACCTAAATCTCAAGACGTAATAATAGGTTGGACATCATTTTACCCATTACCAAAAGTCCTATACCTAAATAAAACCGGTTTAAGCCGACTCTAATTTCGAACATACATTTTAAATTAGTTCTACTGTTTTATGTAAGTAGT